AAACTTGGTAATATTATCAGACAAGTTAAACATTCTTTAAATAATCTAACACACATACCTACTCACTATAACTCTATACTAACCTATCTTAATTCTCAATATCAACTTCACATTCCTAATATAATACCGGACTACTTCACATTACCAACTGGATAAGCACAGCAAACATGAATGGTAAGCACTTTATCATGCTCGAAATATTTACCATTGTAACTGTTTACTATGCTTGAAAATATAAGTCCCTGCTTGAAAACTACATTTTACTATAGTCGAAGAAATTAAAACAAATCGTAGTAAACCACATGCTTTTTGCGATTTTCATCGATCACAGCAAATCACAAAATCTACATGTCCATTGCAATACTTTATTTCATGGTGACGAAGAAACGAAAACCGGCGAAAGATGAATTTATAATGAAACTCCAAATCTTCTTGATGAAAAATGAAAAATGAAACCTACATTGGAAATGACAAAAAGCGAAACCGTTTATTGGAATATTGCTATCAACTGTCAAAACTTTTAGAGAATCGATTCTCAATATTTAAATTCGAAAATTTTGAGAATTGATGCCCATCTCTACCAGCACGGAGGTAATAATTAGCTGTGCATAATTAATTTTTATAGTTGGTTCTATAATTTTAAAGAGATTGCAGCATCAAAAAAAAAAAAAGTGTACTGGGTTAGAGAATCATAATGTATTAGATTCTCCGAAATTTAAATATTGATAATAGGCAAATAATGCATTTTTGGCACTGAATGGATCATATTTTTCTTACATATAAAAAGTTTTGGTTTTAATCATTTACGATCATTAAATATATATGCTATTAGACTGAATACAATAAATAATATTAAAGATTTCAACAGAGCAATAGGACGAGTAAAATTTGTTATTTTGAAATGAATTCTTACATAAAAATTTAAGATTTGTTGAAACAAAATATCTAGGCTTTAATAATTTGTTGAATTTACGTTATCTGTTCTGTTTCAAAAATCTAGTTTTTCACTAGTATTGAATATTTTAAAAATCCATTGCTATCAAGATACTATTCTTTATTGTTATTAATAGACGGATTGATACTTCTTCCATTCAACAAATTCTTAACTAAAAGTGATTCAAAGTGAAGTAAGAGTTTAGTTTAGTATTACGAGAAAAATTAAATATTAAAAATGAAGAAGCAATAATTAGAGACATGATCCGGATCTATTTTACAAATGTTAAACTAGTTTAAATCGATTTGAACAACAAATGTTTAACGATTTGAACAACAAATGTTAAACTAGTTTAAATCAATTTGAACAACAAATGTTAAAACTAGTTTAATTCGATTTGAACAGTAAAAAAAATAAATCCAAATTACATCTCTAGCAATAAAGAAATTTTTTTATAAATCAGTGTTAGAGTTAATAATTGGTTCATTATTTATCTCAAATTTTATCAATTGTAATGATAAATTTGGCAATACATCTAGTAACCCAGGCACTAATTTGGAACAATATCATAATTTTATTGTCAACCAAATCAAATTGTTCTACTGTAATATAGGCTTGCGAAGAGTATGAGACATATTTTCGTTTCTCTAACTTTCGTCAGTTTGCCACACTTTGTCAGCTTCTCCGCATTTTGTCAGTTTCGTTATCTTTCGTCAGTTTTTAATTGACGAAAGACTGAACAAAGTTTCGTGTTTCGTCAGCGCGAAACTCATAGATTTTGCCTAACAACTGTGAATGTAGTCAAACCTCCCTAAATGCAAAACTTCTCTAACATTAAAATTTTTCGATTTTTTAATATATACACCTCGGCTATGCATTTAGAGAGGTCTGACTGTCATGTACAATAATCTGCATATTAAAAGTAAATTTATTTCGCTAACGATTTCTTATCAAATTAAACGAAAAAAATATTTTTTTACAATATAATCACTAAATTGATGAAACCGGTGTAAAGATAAAAAAAATCCATATAGTTTAAATACCATTGTTTAACGACATTATTTTAAGAGAAACTTAATAATCCACTTTTGAAACAAATAAATCCATTCTAGGATGAGGTTTAGAAAAACCAGAAGTTATTGTTTCAAAGGTAAAACCTTCAACTAATCTAAACTTCAAATTTCTAATTATTATTGCTAAAATGGTTTTAACTTCTAAATGAGCCAATTTCATTCCTAAACAATTTCTTGGACCTGCACCAAAAGGTAAGAAATTACAATTTGTTACTCTTGCTTTTATTTCCGGATTAAGCCACCGAGATGGATTAAAATATTTAGCATCGTCACCCCAAATTGAGGGATCATGATGGATTGCGTAGATAGGAATCACCAATGGAGTTCCCTAAAAGAAAATTTTGAGTTGCATACTAATTTTAATATCAAATACATCAAATAAATTGAACTATTAAAGGTTATTTTAGGACATACCTTTGGAACAGTATAACCATTCATAATTTCATCTTTTGCATTATAACGGTTAAGGAAATTCACTTTAAAGATAAAATAAGATAGAGATAAATAAATAGAATAATATTGGGTCAACTTAAAAGATAAAGAGAAATTGAAATATACAAGGTGGGATTATCCTTAAAATTTCTTTAAAAACACATTCCAAATATTTCAAACTTTCAATTTCATCAAAAGTTGGAAAATGATTACAATCACTAAATATTTCAAGTACTTCTTTACGAAGATTATCCTGAGCATCAGGATTTTTTGCGAGGTAGTATAATGCCCAAGTTAAAGCGGTACTAGTTGTCT